GTAGCTCTTTATGCTCCGTATAGTCACATGTCTTTGCATAGTCAATGAACCGCAAGTAAAGATCTCTCTGATATTTTCTGCTTTCAGCCCCAATCCATCTGACATCAGCAATGAGACCGCTCACTCCGCTCCATCTCCTGAATTTTTGAAAGCTCCCGGTCAACAATGCACTGCTGCATCTATTTTTGAAGGGTCGCCAGCAAAACCTTACTTTGTTGTGATATTAAAGATACTGTGCAGTCATTTCCTCATTCTGTTGGGTCAACTTTTTTTGAATAGGCACAAATATGTGTATCTTCTAGTCTGTTGCCTAGGTAGTTTTTGCCCACATTTTGGGGGCATAGATAAATTAGTGCTTCATCAGCTGATGGAAACATTCCAATTGGTCTTCCATCAGTTCCTGGAGTCTTACTTTTGGCCAACACCTTCCGTGCAGTGTACACTTCTTTAATATGACTTGTTCTCGATCATATGCTACCCTCTGAAATGGTTGAATGCCGATGAGTTCTTTTGGTACAAGGATTCTTGTTCTTTCCATCTTCTTTTGATGCTTCTTGCACTGTTTAATATTTTACCCACAGAGTCCTTCAATATTTCAACTCGAGCCTCAAATAACACCCATAGGTACCCATAGCACTTAAAAAAATTACCGGTAAATCATTTTATTGGCCCCATAGAATTTTACTGTGCCTTAACCAAACAACCACCAAAACCCTCTTATGGAGAAGTCGGTGAAGGCTTACATAGCAAATCAACTTCCCGCTTAATAACTCATGGGCGTTTTATGTCATGTCCTTGGTGGAAATTCCCCCATCGTGACACCCCTTCTCGAGCTTCCTCCTGTTCCCATTCCTCCTCCGTTCTCCATCCTTCCTGCCTTTACAACTTCGTCCTTGGGCAAATGCTGTCCTTTTTTCACCTCAAACGGCTGGTTATTCTAAGGCATGTCTACCTCCTCCGTGTTCTCATTTACCTTATCAGGCTGTTAGGGGTTGGGTTGAGAATTGAACCATCAAACGCATTCCAGGCCTCAAGGGTGATTACAGGGCCATAGTTTTGTGTTCCATCAACAAAGAACCCTAGTCTTTTTTATGGCTATGAATTTTGTTCTCTATATATTTTTTCTCCTGCTCTCTCTAGGCTCTTCTGATGGAATCCCTTTCAGGTGGTCAGTCATTGTAGCTGGGCATCAGCCAGCGCTTCTTATCTCAGGGTCTCGGAAGCTGAGATTCATCTGGCCTGTTAGCACTGGACTCCTGCTTGCACGGGTCTCTTATTTGCTTCACGTGTATTTCTCTGGGCAGGGAGAAGCGATTAGCTGCACCCTAGATGCCTACTCACGAACTTTTAAGACCCTACTTGTAACTCACCAAAATGGGACTTAGAACGGCGGTTCTCAACCATCCTCATACCACGACCCTTTCATACAGTTCCTCATGTTGGGGTGACCCCCCCGCCAACATAAAATTATTGTTGTTGCTACTTCATAACTGTAATTTTGCTACTGTTATGAACCAGGCGACCCCTATGAAAGGGTCATTCGACCCCGAAAGGGGTGGAAACCCACAGGTTGAGAACCTCTGTCTTAGAGCATTGTCTTTGTGGATGGTGTTAGGCCAATTGACCTTGGTAATTCCCAAGATCACAGTTCTCGGCCCCCAGCCCAGTGGCTCATTCCTGCAAGAAGTTTGATTATGGCTAAGAAGTTTTCATCACTCTTTGCACTCTGCCCTACTATACTCACGGACATGTGTAACACAGGTAAATGAACTCACAACCCTCAAGTCGATTTTGACTTATAGCAACCCTCTAGGTAAATACATGTAGACCTATCCTCTGTCAAACCTACATCTATCCGTATGCACAATGACATTATCCTTCCCACATCTGTTCTGTCTGTTGATGCATCCGTGCATAGATCATTGTTCGTACAGAATTGTATATGTAGTAGTATTGATCTTTGTTGCCTTTAACTCTTGTATTCCTTGAACTATATTCCTTTGCCTACATGATTTTTTGCTGACCTCCCTCTTATTACATATTGCCTTAGACAATAATGACTAATATGTGAAATGCCTCATAACACAGGTGACCCTGGAGGATATTAAGCTGAGTGAAGTAAATCAGTCACAAAAGGACAAATATTATATGCGACTACTGTTATCAAAGGTCAGCACATTCTTTGATGGTTACAAGGGATGGGAGGGGGAAGGAGGGTATATTTGCTGTATCTTTATATACTCAAATCAGTTCTTTTGATAAGGTCACAACCCACTTAAAGTCAGGGACCGTGTCTTCTTCATCGGCATTTCTCTAGTGTCCTGCATCCTCAAATAAATGGAGTGAGTCAAATAGATATTTAGGGAAGAGAAAATAAAGGTAACTGGCATTTATTGAATGTTTCTGAATCATGTTTAGTCAGGAAAGAAACAAACAATAGAAAAAACCACTTTGCATTTACGATAGGGAATTGATTAAGGAGCCCGGGTGACTGGTATCGGGTGTTAAGTGTTGGGCTGCTGACCCAAAGGTCAGCAGTTTGAAGCCACCAGTCGCTCTGCAGGAGAAAGATGGAGTTTCCTGATCCTGTAAAGGGTTATAGCCTGAGAAACACGAAGGGGAAGATTTACTCTATCCTAAAGGGTTACTATGATTCGGAATCAATTTGATAACAACAGTAGGTTTGGTTTTTGGCTAGGAAATTGACTCGGCAGGTGGAAGACTGAAAATGCACACACGGAACACGGAGGCAGCACAGTTATCCGCTCCTGGCGCTAGGGCCGGGATAAGAAGAAGAAGGGAAACATTCCATCAACTTCTCACTGCCCTGGGCTTGATGCTCACTCAAGTGGCCCTGTACATAACGACCCCTGTGGGCTTCCAAGACTGCAAATGGTGTGTGTGATGTATATCATTTAAAACACCGAGAATATTAAATCCAAAGAAAATCAGAAAGCGATACACACTAGAACAAGTTAAAAAGGAGTCAAAATTAAAAACAGATGGTCAGATGTTAAATTTTAAGCCAACTATCTCTACAGGAATCCATCTTTCCAGTGCACTCTGTCTGAGGGCCAAAGTATTTACATTTGATCTTCACACTTGAGCTTGAGACAGAAATGAGGCTCAGGTTATTATTCCCATGGTGATGATGATGCGGGAAGCAAGGCTGAGACAAAGGTTGCCAGCCCAAAGGACTAAGGCCAGTCCAAGCAAACAATCAACGAGGTTTCACGCTGGGCACTTTCTGCAAAGGACTTAGCTGCATTTGGACTTTTCCAGGACAACAAAAAGATAAATGAATGGAGGTTGTAAAAGTTTTGTTGTGAGAGGACTTGTGTGTTTATGCATCAAAAACTAACCATTTCTGGTGGTTAGAGAACACTGTACTGTTGACTGATAGCTTAATTTTTTTCTTTTTTAATGGCATGACATGACACATAAGTTGGGCTAGTAAACTTGTGAATGTAGTTATGACTAATGTAAAGCAAGCATATGCAGGGGAGCAAGGCATACACCCAGTGCCAATGTCCTTTCAAAGTGTATTGTTATGGAAGATCACAAATCTCAAGAGATGAATATACATAGATCCAGTGTGTATGCACCACACACACACACACACACACACACACATTTATATCTCTCTCCAGTAAATATATGAGGGGGCTTCAAAACAGTCATGGAGCAATAGAGTTAGAAAACAACAGAATTTTCTCACAGGAGTTGTGAAGCTTGCATTCATCGCTCTCTACAGAAATACATCTTTGTATTTATATGGATTGTGTTTGTAGGTGCTGCTGGGGTGGTTCTGACTCACAGTGACATCATGTCTAACCGAAGGAAGCCCTGCCGGTCTTGGGCCATTCCCCCAATTGTTGCTATGTTGGAGCCCCTTGTTGGGGTCTTCCTCTCAGGGGGTTTTCCTCTTTTGGGATGCCCCTCTACTTTACCAAGGATGATGTCCTTCTCCAAAATTTCTTTTCCTGATAACTTACTCAGAGTCCATGATTCAAAAATCTCATCATCCTTGCTGCTAAGGAGAAGACTGGCTATACTTTCAAATCTGGCAGTTCATGGTGGATTCTGTGGTGTGTGTGTGTGTGTGTGTGTGTGTGTGTGTGTAGGTATCTGTATGGAGACCCATATGCACATTGACCTTCCCAGGGGTGTCCCCTTTTGAGCTTGAAATGCCATGGGTGACATGGATGAATGGGGTCAACATTGTCTGTGTGCACCAGCAAACGGATCCCTTTTAGTGGACGAAAGAAGAAAGCAAAATAGATGTCAATGAATTTTAAAAGGAAGGATATATCTGTTAAGCACTCCCTAGACATCTACGCAGTGCTCACCACATCGTACGCCTTCAGCAGTGTCTGCTGAATAAGCAATGACTGGACGTCCTGCGGTGGTGCGCACAGGTAAGCATTGGCTACTCATTGGAAAGTTAGGTGCCTCCCAAGAAAGGCCTGGTGGTCTGACCCTGACAGGCCACCCTCTCTGAAAGCCCTTGGTGCAGTTCGTTGCTGAAGCACACGGGGTTACCAGGAGTCAGAACTGACTGGACAGTCATTGGTGTCACATGACTGCCTGGATTTTTGTACATGTCAACATTTCACAAAGGGTCAGCATCTAGTTGTTAAGAAATTCTACCATCAGGTTAATCTTGGGTGGTGTGATAAGCGGTGACTGTTCAGGTTTAGACAGGGGTTCCACTTTCCTGAAGTGGAAACATGAGACAAAGTAGTCACAAGGCCATATTTGCTAAGTCAGAATGAAGTTTATTCACTGGTCAAAATAGGTATTTCTCTCAGAGCAGAGAAGTAGCTTCAAAGACAGAAAGATAGTCTCCAATTCTACCCACAGGGGCAAAGAATTGCGACGTGGAGCAGATTCGTGAAAGCACATGGGAACTGACGTAGGCAGACTCCAGTGTCGAAGGTCAGGTGGCTGGTACGTTGGCCGGCAGCCACATCACTGAGGTTCAGCAAAGATGTCCCTGGTTAACAGCAGCTGGGCACGCAGGGATTCTCACAGCAAGGCTGAGTGTGGGTCGTCAGGTCGATGCCAAACAGCCCGGGAGTTGGGTGGCAAGAGTGGAGCAGCCAGCAAGTTGGCACATAGGTGTCAGGCTCACAGCAGGGTGGGGGGCAGGGGTCGCAGCAGGTGGGCTGGAGGAGGCTGATGTCATGGGGGCAGGTGCTGGGCAGGCAGACTCCGCAGCGGCAGCACTTGTCAGAGGAGCAGATGGTGGTGGCTGGACCAGTGGGGACGCTGCAGCAGCGCTGGGAAGCGATTCCACAGAAGGCCATGTTGACAGGAGTGGGGTTTGGTTTGGTTGGGAAGAGAAGTGTCCTGGTGTCTCAATGCTTCTCGCTTCGCAGCCGGCTCTTATATACCCCCCTCCCTGGGCGTTGGCCCATGACCAAGATTTCTTTCCCTGTGTTTCAGTATACAGCAATCGCCATAAAAACTGTCTAATTACTTAAGTGTTTATGACCTGGGACACCTTCCTCACTCCATAAAAGGGGTTTAGGTTGTTTTGTTGTCAAATTAGGACTCGTCACAATGGCTATTGGTCACTGCCAGCAGAGCTTCATGTCAGCCTTCAAAGGCACCGAGTCATTATCTTCTAATCATTAAACTCCACTAATGGTGGCTTGGTATGCTTGGCATCTCTAAATCTTCCCCATGTTTTGGGGTCTACTTTTCAGATGATGGGATAAGTAAGCTCTTTAATTCTTCTTTTACCAGCAACCAAAGATTCTCTGTGATAATTGAGGGCCTCTCGCGGGGAAAAGTGATCCAATTTTATATTTCTTGTTTTTGTCCATACAAAAAGGTGAGTTAAGTTCAACAGATAAAAATCTATACAGAAATTGCTATCGGTTCTTTGTCTAGAAGCACTTTCTAACAGCGCCGTACATGATGGCTTCTTCTCCATCATTTTCATAACTCAGCTCAACTCACCGCCAGGGAGTCGATGCCGACTCACAGCGACCCTTTCGGGTGGGGTAGAACTGCTTCTTTGAGCTTCTGAGACTGCAAATGTTTAAGGGAGTAGAAAGCCCCTTCTTTCTCTCTTGGACCACCTGTTGGTTTTGAATTCCAGCCTTGTAAATCGCAGCCCAACTCGTAACCACTATTGCTACAGAGGCTCCTGTCCAACTCATTGCAAGCAGCTGATCCCAACTCACAGCGACCCGATAGGACCGAGTAGAACTGCCCCCTTTGGGTTTCAGAGCCATTAAATCTGACTGGAACAGCAAGCCTCATCTTTCTCCAAGGCAGCTGGTGGGTTCAAACCCCTGACCTTGTGATTAACAGCTAAAGCCTGCACGGTGACCGTAGTAAATATCCTTTAGAACTCCATCTAGTAGGGCACTATTATGACTACTTCTTAGACATAACCAGACACCTGGTGGGTCTAGGTGCCTGGGCTTGAAGGATTAGGACCATACTTTTGTGGGACATGTTGGGTATGTTCCACATCCTCATCTGGTGAATCGTATCTGGGGTCTTAAAGCATGTGAATAACCACAACTATGATCTATACTCATTCAGGGCAAACGAGAAAGGAGGCACTCAAAGGCAGAAAGAAAAAGGCAGTCTATAGGGCTAATAGTATACAGGAGTCATGGTCTCATCTACCCCGACACTAGAAGAACTAGATGGTGCCCAGCTCTTTTGACTGATGTTGGGATCTGGGCTACAATAGATAGACCCTGATAGACTGGGAGGACATAGTGAGCAAATTCCCAAAGACAAAGAAACAAACCACTACAACAACCCAAACCCACACTTCCTGGCCCAGTTGAGACAGGTGAACTGCCGAGACTATTGCTCTAAGTTCCTATTTTAAACCATTGATACACCTTGATAAAACATTGATAAATGTTTGGGAAATATTGGATGATTCTCTGGCAGTCGTTTCAGAACCTTTAACATACTTTAATATAAAGTTCTCCATGCCTTATCTAGAAAGATATACAGCATCTATGTCCTCGCAAGCCTGCTTGACCAGGAGATTCTTTAGGATCACAGATCCGCTTCGTGGAACTGGGTCCTAAGAATCACATTGAAGAGATCTAACAATGTGTAGAGGCTCTGTTGAAAAAGGAAATTTCTAAATTATATTGCAAAAAACCTCAACGATTACTGCTATAGAATCGATTCTGCTCCACAGTGACCCCATAGGACAAGGTGACATGACCCCCATAGGTTTCTTTCTTTTTTAAAAAAAAATCATTTTATTAGGGGCTCATACAACTCTTACCACAATCCATACACACATCAATTCTGTAAAGCACATTTGTACATTCATTTTCCTCATCATTCTCAAAACATTTGCTCTCCACTTAAGC